TCTAGAAATTAAAGGTTCATATATATTACATAATATATATAAAATAAAAATTCAGATTCAAACAAAAAACACAAAAGGAAAAGCCACTTTCCCCTCTCTTCTTATGATTCTTTAAAATATATATTATACATATAATCATATTATATACATAATATAATAAATATTATATAGCTACATGTGATTATAATATATGTAAGAGACATGTGAGGTCAAAAATCAATAAGATTTATACAAGAGAAATGAAAGCATATATTCTTACCCAGATTTACACAAATCATAGCAGCTTTATTTGTAATGGCCACAAATTGTCAGTATCCCAAATGCCCATCAACAGGTGAATGGGTAAACAAATTAAGCATATCTTTACAGTGAATACTACCCAGCAGTAAAAAGAATGAACTGATACTGCAACAACATGTATGAATCTCAAAATAGTTAATGCTGAGTGAAAGAAGCCAGATTTTTAAAAAGTACATACTATATGATTACATTTATATAAAATCCTAGAAAATGCAAACTAGTCTATAGGCACAGAGGGTCTCTCTTGCAATACAACCATCTGCACGTGCAAGTTTCACTGAGCCCTCTTTGTATTACCCTGTGGGAATTGGGGCTCATAACTGATACAGTGTTGATACTCTGGCTACTGTTACTCCTCTGAGTAATAAACTGTCTTTCATCTATGACCTAGATGTCTCATGTCTTCTTCCTCAAGCATCCAGACTTGTTAGCTTACAAGTAGGATAAAATATCAGATCCTTCACAGTTCTTGACAATGAAATACCATTATACCCATACCTAAAAAAATTAAAAGGAATGGCAATGCCAAGTGTTCATGAGGATGTGATGCAATTGGAATTGTCATACATCGCTGATGGGGCTATATTAATAAATTGGCATTACCACTTTGTAAAGCTGCTTGGCAAGATCTGTTCAAGGCGTATAAAGCTATATGTGCATGTTACCTAAAACCTAGCAATTCCACTCCTGCATAGACTAGCCATCAAAAATAAGTCCTTATATTCACCAAAAGACAAATATAAGAATGTTCATATCAGTTTTAGTTACAATACCCAAAAGCTGAAATTAATCCACATGTCCATCAACAGTCTTGATGAATTGTGTACAACAATGAAAAAGAATGTACTACTGCTATAGACAACATCGTGGAGAGTGCACACTATATGAAGTATGTATATTTATATAAAGTTCAGAAAAACAGACAAAACTATGGCACTTCTGTGGTGAAGAACTAAAGTAGTGGTTACCTTTGGTGGGAATATCAATTAAGGGAGCCTTCTATATCTTGATCTGAATGGTGGTTGCATGGGTGTATACATAGATAAAAATTTATTGAGCTAAATACTTAAGATTTATGTACACTATGTATATAAATTATACCTCAACTTAAAATACATATAAAGTATATATTTAAGCTCTTGTCTTTCTAAAAGGGTTTTCCTTTGTCTTTGGTTTAGAAATAGCAGTCCTAGGTGACATCACTAGATCTTTGAAGAAATACCTATTTTTAGTGTTGATTAAAAATATCCAAATAACTTCAAGAACTGGATGATTTACTTAAGGTGTATCAGAAGTTTGTTCCTTTTTCTTGCAAATAGTATTCCATTGTACGTCTATACCTCATTTTATCTGTCCATTCACCAAGTTGATGGACATTGAGATTTTTTCCATTTTTTAGCTATTGTGAATACTGCTGCTATGAACATTCTTGTGCCAGTCTTTGAATGGATATATACTTTCATTTCTCTTGAATAGATAACTAGGATTGGAATTGCTGGATCATAGGGTAAATCTATGTTTAACTTTTTAAGAAACTGCGAAACTGTTTTCCAAAGCGACTGCACCACCCACAGTGTGTGGA